GTAAATAATAAATAAATATTGGAATAAACCCACCCAGAAAATAAGCCACTTATGTATTAAAATAAAGATTGCCAGTGATACGCTGGTTTTGAATTAACTTTGGCTCTGGTGAAAAATATCAATGAAACATTATTATATGAAAGGCTATTAAAAATGACTAGTCCGTAAATAAAACCACTTTTAGTAGTTTTTTTTCTTTTTCGTATTTCACTAATTTTGATAATTGCCTTCAAAATGTGTTATTGCATGATGCAAAGACCGATTAGGATGCGGGTAATTTTGACCCTAGTGGAGAACGTCCCTATGATGCATGGTTATCAATGTATTGGTTTTTTTTGTTTTTTTTTTGAGTTTCTTTGTTTGTGCGGATTGGCCCTTGATGGCACTTGTAGCACTAAAAAAAAAATTGAGAAATTAAGATTGCTTTCTAGTATTTGTTAATTTTGTTTGATTATATTATAGTTGTCCTATATTAAGGAAAAAAATATTCATTTTTGTTAAACCAATGTTATAACAAAATTACCTTTATTATTTATTGTTATGTTAAACAAGATGAGTGAGGTCCACAGACATTTTGTTATAGTGATTAAGTTATTTTACACCAGTTTGATTAGCAAGTAGTGAGTGGAGGTCAATAGCTTGGTGGTTAAGATGCTCACCTTCCTCTCCCAGGGGACGGTCCCACACATTTTCTATTGGAACCGCATTATTTAAAAAAAATTAATAATTCTGTTATTTTATGAGTCCACATATCATAATTATCTTTAAAATGCGTCAACTTTTAAGGAAAGGGTCAACATTATTTTAATTTATGCATAAAGTGGGTCCACCTTGATATTGTCCAGTACTGTTTGAAAATCCTGGCTGCGGAATCTTTTTTCATATTTCATACATTTTTAGCGCCGAGAGACTCCAGTAAAGAGTGCTATATAAATGCTAAAACATCATCATTATCATCATCAGCGTCATCATTATCATCACCATTAAGTTGCTGTGGTAATTTCTTCGCTGCGGCCTAAAGGAATAACAAAAAAATAATGATACTACTAAACTCAGTAAATCCTTGGATCAATTTGTAAGGTCCTTTATTAACAATTTACAGCAGTGACATTTTGATATCATACATCATAGATAGATATACTGTACTTTAAAAATCTATGTTACACACATAGTGTGTGATACTAGAATAGTAGCAAAAGCAGCTTATCAGGAAAGGCTTCACTGTAAATTACAGTGGTCTCTGTACTTAGTTTAAATTGCTTACAGCATCAGAAACAACAATATAGAAGTAACTGCAGTAAACTTAAATTTCATTAAAATACATTTATGTAGAATAATTTCAATTTAACTGGAAATTGACTCACTGTTTTATTTATTTTTTTGAATTGTTATGTCATTGTTATGATTCCAAGTTTGGAATTTAAAATTAGAAATTGCAGCTAGTAGGCCCTTGGGGACCCATCGTGGCCATAATACAGTGCCAGTATATAATTTATACACATTTTAAGTAAAGAGATGTTCGATGAGAATTATGGTGATGATGTGAAAAATTAACGGGTGAACTTTTAATTATGTTAATTACCAATGAGCAACACACGCATTAACGGCAATGAGCTTCATTCAAAGTTAAATTACCATGGAAAACAAAAATGTACTACGCAACTAACGACAATATCGCAACTGCTACTACTTAAAAACTTGCATAGTTAAGAAACAGCATCTGTGACCTGTGCCTGTAGGTTTTTATGAGATAACAAGCAGAACAGTGTTGTAGGGCCTGAAGTGCACATCTGAAAAAGAAAATAACTATTATCAATAACAATTATGTATAGTTAGTCCAGGCTGTAATTGATATTCAGGTGGCTGACATGAGAGCTCTGGAGATTGAGTCTAAAAGCACAAGTCTCATCACGCTAGACGTGCAAGACTATTGGTATCTTTGCAAAAATGCATGGGGTGGGTATTTGCAGTGAATCATGACAATTATAGGCTGATCGACCAACCCAGAATTAAATGTCACTTACATTTTTAAATTACATCTATCTTAAATCCATTGTATTTTAATTAATAACTTTTTAGTTAACTTTCCCTTTTTTTTACATTTGCATTCTAACAATGTAATCTCTTCTTAAAATATAAAATTGG